ACGCAGCGTTCCTACGGGAAAGTAACGGTAATCTAATTACCGTTTTTGCAATAGTAATCCCTTACTTTACTCGTTACCTGAAAAAAGTAATCAGATTACAGTAACGCGTTACAAGTAACGTGTTACTGCCCATCTCTGCTTGTAAACATATTGTTTTAAAGTGTATTATATACAGTAAATCATGTCACATTAGATCAAACTGAGCCAAACTACTTAAAATATACCAACTGTCCAAAACCAAAACACACAGATACTTTAATTAGCATGATGATGTATTCATTTGGCGTGTGCTCTGCTTTGCAGAGTCAAGACATCTTCTCTTCCACTTTCTCTCTCTATTTTTTCCCTTGGGGAAAAGCGATGGGGGATGGGAGACTCATGACAGAATCTGCTCTCTGCATGGGAAGGCGAGTAAGCATGGGTGAGTGAGCTAAGGGGGACTAGAGAGACAGAGAGAGAGAGAGAGAAACAGAGAGGGAGTGTACTGTAAACTGTCCAGTGGGAAGCTTATCAGCATTGCCTCATCTTATTTCACAATAATACGACTCTTTTTTTTTTTAATTTGTCAAATTGAAATTTGCTTTATTGGAATTCATTAATTTACCATCAACATTACATAGATACAGTCAGATTTACAGTTTACATTACTGGCTTTTTCTCATCCTATAATATGATAGCTGTCATTTTCTCCCCTCGTATATTTTTGCAAGATGCTGTTCTACATTTAAATTTTGTTTCGCAGACATTACAAGCTTTAATATTTTGCTTGGATTCAGATCACTACTGCTGCCAACATAATCTAACACGTGGTATTATTTGTTCAATGAAAAAGTATTAAGTTGTAGAGTAGAACAAGAATTTTAGAGGCTTAGACCTCTGTATGATGTGTGTGAGTACAGTACTCCACAACTGCTGCAGCCTCAGGAGGCCTGAGATCCTATAGCCTCCAGGGACACAGGGCCTCTGAGTAACTCTGACCCCAGCTGGTATGTTGAGCTCTCTGGCACAATCAGATAAATGACCAGGATCCAGGGCTGGGGTAGGGGGCGGAAGTTTTTGAGTGTGCATGTATGTCGGGGGTAGGGGAGGTAAGAGCAAGGGAAGAGTTAACGGAAAATGGGACGTGATCAATCAAAGCTAATTTTAGGCCAATGCGCTTCATGTGGAACACCAGCCATCATAGCTGTTGACAGGCATGCTAACCAGAAGTGTAATCTGTGTTTTTAGGCGACTCGTCGTAAAGAGAAGTGAAAAGGAACTGATGAACAGTTTACCCATCACGGAGGGCTGTAGTCAGCCTGTGAAAGTAATGTGTGTAATGTGCTCTTTGTCTCTGGAGAGAGTTTTCCAGCGTCTGTGATGTCATTAGGATTACCCTGCTTGGGTTTTGAGACTAGAAATGGAAAATCAACATTACAAACTGAGGGCTTGAAATCAGTGACCTTTTATTGTATATGGTGGGTTTATGGCAGAAGGATACAATCAAGCTGCATTCGGGGAACTGTAGGATACAGTTGTTTGAGATTTTAACCCACATTAGAGGCTAACAGTTAGGATACCCCTGCATTTTTGGATATCCTTTTCTTACAATACTAGTCTTGCGAGTTAATGAAAGTGCAATATTACAATGGTGGCTTATTTTGTTTTTTTTATTTCACAGCAAATTCACTGACATTGTTTTCACATATGATTTTCTTTCTGCTTGGAATTGTTGCATTTCATGTTTACATAAAAACACTAAAAGCTTTAGTGATTATATTTATGCTATGATACATGATGCTTAAATTTCTAGTGTGGGGGTCTTTTTAGATAAAATGAAAATTAAAAAAATAACCTTAATATAGAAAAAAAGGTATTCCCAAATACAGAAAATAGGTCATACTTTGTTGTGTGCGATTAAATTCAGGGGGGAGCCCAAATAGATGGCAGAGCAGCAGACACCTCACAGCCCCGGAATAGCTGCATCTCAGTGGGAGTCCCTCCTTCAAGGCAGACAGTATAATTAGCACTGTCAAAGGCGATCCCTGAACAAATGGCACAGTACCCCCTGATCCACGGGGTGAACACGGTCGCAAAGAAGAGGACAAAGTGGCATATTTACTGGGATGCTACTTATGTGGTGTTTAAAGTGAACAGACAATTAAATAGGACAGCGCTTGCTGATGTCACTGATAGGTAGGTGGGGTGAGACTTGTGCCACTGAAGTTATTCAAACAGTTATTCTTCCCACACTCTAGCATGCAGGCCTAGAGGACTAGAAAAGAGGGAGAAAAAAGAAGTGGAGCTACAGGCATTCTGTGGGTAACCCATCATAGGCAGCTGATACCTTGCTGTAAGAAACAGAGTGTCTACATGAGTGGGGGTCCCATAGCCATCATTACTGTACTGCTCAGGGGCTCACTGAACCATGGAAAGCTAGGATAGTTGATAGCTCCAGAGGATTCTCCATAATGGAACAAATGGCCCTGGAGATATGCTTAATTGTCTTTTATAGGTAGACATGTTAGAATTATGCACTGAAATATGATTTAAAGGCTACAACTTTGATGAGCCTCTGGGGAAAGAAAATAAGCTACAGATACGTATGCCGCTGCCTTATACACTTTTCACTGGGGCAGCACATTTTCAGCACACGCACACACCGTGGCACCTCCAGTGAGATGACAGCAAGTTGGCAGGCCCTGCAGCTGGAGGCTTCTCTCTCTTTCTCTCTTCTATCCATCCCTCCATCCTCGCAGGATTCCCTCTGTAATATTACACACTTCAATGTTCAAGCTGCCACTTTCCAGAAAAGCTATCAGAGCTGCTGTGGGATCAGACCAGGACTGCAACAGCAGAAATGCGTGAACCACACAGGCAGGGCTAGATGTTGTTGCGGTGTGGAGGTGTTTGTTTCCAACACTGCTGGAAATGCTACGAACCATCCAATGACAAGTTAATCCGCTGCGGTTGTACCTACGCCAGGGCTGAGCATATTAATGCTACTCCGGGATATGTTCTGCTTGTGTGATTCATAGGTAAAGAAAGTGGGGATCTACTGTTTTGATGAATCAGGATGAGTCACCACATATGTATAGAGAGGCATTCTAAAACTGAGCCAATATCCTGTTGCACGAAAGGAAACTTTACTATCAGGCCACAGAGGAGTCAGACGGTCAAATCAGAGTCTCAATAGATAGCAAAACAGTGCCAGCCACCCTTCAGTGTAAAATCCACCTCTTTTGCCACATGTAATTCAGTACATGATGTAACTCCCCCCCCCC